AACCAAAAATTCATTAATTAAACCATTGATTAACATTACAAATGGATGGACAATGAATTAATTAGTTTGATTTAATATTTTAGCTATTTTCAGTGCTTGATCAGGAGATATTGAATGCATATCAACGTGGATAGAAATTAAACAATCCCCATTAAATAAAAAGTTCTTTTTCATCCCTTCACCTTTGATTCGAATAATTTGACCATCACTTGTGACTCCATTTTGTTCAATGGATATTTGATGACCATCTAAGTGGGAGATTTGTTTTTTAAATCCTAAGAGTGCATCTTTCAAAGTAATTGTTAGGTTAGTTAATAAGTCATCCCCTTGACGTTTAAAGTTCTTCTCATCGTCATTAACAGTTAATAATAAAAGAAGCGTACTACCCATTTCACCCATATTTTTTATTTTGAGAATATCCCCCGTTTTACTACCTTTAGGAATGGTAATATTAAATTCGGTGGTTTCAGACACTCTTCCACTACCATTACATTTCTCACATTTTTCTGTGATTTCATTTCCACTTCCTCCACAAATGGGACAAGTAATTAAATGTTCATAGGTAAATAATCCCATTCTTAGATTTTCCTTAACCACACCCTTTCCCCCACATTTTGAGCATTTATGAATGGCATGTGAATGTGCAGCACCACTCCCATTGCATACTGGACATTGAACATTCCGTTTTATAGTCCTTTTGATAGTATTTCCACTATAAGCGTCAGATAAAGAGATACCAATTTTTAATTTAGTAGACTGAGAATGAGAAGGAATGAAGTAAGTTTTTAAAAACGGAAAAAGAGTAAGAATAAGAATAGCTAAGAGTATAAAGAATAATGGAAATACAAGAAAAGCAAGAGAGTTCAAATCCGGATTCATAACAAGTTGAGGGTGTCGTGGTACTTGGTGCATGGATGAATAAGAAAAGATAGAAGAAAAAGAAATAAGAAATAAAAAGAAATAAAAAAAGAGAAAGAAAGAAAAAAAAAAGAAATAATAGAAAATGGCAAGAAATGCAGAGTTCATTATTCATGATAGATATAAACTAGAAAAGAAATTAGGAGGAGGGTCATTTGGAGATGTTTTTCAAGGAACCGACTTAGAGACAGGACAGTCAGTTGCTATAAAAATTGAATTAAAAAAATGCAAACATCCTCAACTTAAAGCAGAAGCACAACTTTATGCATATCTTGCAGAAGGAGAAACAAATCCACCAGGAATTACAAAAGTTTATTATTCAGGAGAACAAGATGATTATAATATAATGGTAATGGAATTTCTTGGACCATCATTAGAAGATCTTTTTCAATATGTTGGACATCCATTTTCATTAAAAACAGTATTAATGATTGTTGATCAATGTTTAAGATGTATTGAACATGTTCATAAAAAAGGATATATTCATAGAGATATTAAACCAGATAATTTTGTTATGGGAAGTGGGAAAAATGTTCATTTTGTATATATAATTGATTTTGGATTAAGTAAAAAATACATTGAAAATGGAAAACATATTGCATATAGTGAAGATAAATCATTAACAGGAACAGCAAGATATGCATCTATTAATAATCATAAAGGATATGAACAAAGTAGAAGAGATGATTTAGAAAGTTTAGCATATATGTTTATTTATTTTCTTAAAGGAAAATTACCATGGCAAGGTTTTAATAGACAAAATAATACTGAAAAATTTGATAAAATTTGTAAAAAAAAAATGGAAATTCCTTTAGAAGAATTATGTGAAAATCTTCCTGTTGAATTTGCTTCATTTCTTTCTTATGCAAGAAGTCTTAGATTTGAAGAAGAACCAAAGTATCAATTTTGGAGAGAAGTTTTTCAAAATGTGGCTAGGGAAAATGATATTGAATATGATGGTGAATTTGATTGGTATTTAACTAAACAAAAATAAGTCTTTTTCAATTATCTTTTTTGTTTTGTTTGTTTTTTTAAGACTTGTTTCTTTTATTCTTGTTTAATTGTTTTTATTCTTATTCACTATTTATTTGATCTTTTAACATTTGTATCTTTCATATCATTTGAATGAACAACAAACAAATAATCATATTGATCCCACAAAATATTATCACAAAAATTAAACATCCTAATGACATCACTTTTCCATTACTATGTTGTTCAATAACAATAGGTTGGTTTCCACTTCCATTAAATTGAAGTTCTATAACTTCATCTGACTCATCTGTAGTTGTACCAAATGGCAAGAACGACATATTTGTTTTATTTTGTTTTTCTTTTCTTTCGATTGTTCCATATTTTTTGACTTTTCTTTTTTATTTTCTAAAAATGTTATTCATCCCATTGTTATTTTTTTTTCTTAA